GTGGATGTCAACAGAAAAGTCTTTACAGGGAATCAGACTTACTCTGCTCACCGCTCTAGCTTCAACAGCACAAAGTCTGCTTCGACTATCAAGGCACCCCGGAAATAGCAGTTCACAAGAGAGTGACAAACATACAAAAGAAGTAGAGGAAAAATGACGATAGTAAGGAAGAGGAAAGAAAAAGCAGCAGTTCCCCATATGTTGTTCCGTAACAGTACGAGCGTGACATTGATAAATCAGCCCATTTACAATTCTACAGTGCATAAGAACATGTTAATATCCCCCCTTTGGGGATGGCCTGAAGAATTCAGTCAGTAGCACTGCCCTAGTTTGGGGGGGGTGATTCTATAATGGTATATGGCACAGACCAGACATGAGTAATCGTGTCAAGGTCACCAGCTGGATTATGCCATTCCGAATATCTCACAGGCCGAAGAGTGCGAAGAGTTGGGTGACATCGTTTGAAAGCTCTCAAAATTGAGACGAAAACTGACACTTGATCATACTGTGTCACTCACGAACATTTTGTGAGGCAAATCAATGATGGATGACGTATTGCTTCCGCCTGGGATGGAAACTATAGACGTTCAATTTCTAGCCCCGAGACGGACAAAATTTAGCGGTTTTTTGTGTTGTACTTGTTGTCCTTCGTTGTGAGGGTTTTAAAAAACTGTTGATCATCAACTAATGGAGGCCATATCACTGACTGGGCTGACTCCGTGGCGGGTCTGAAAAAGCCCGCGGGCCGGATCGGTCCTCCAAGTCATAGTTTGCCCATGCCTGGGAACGACTTAACAATCCATTCTTTTTTGTCCCTTACCCATTTCTATTACATTGAGAGCCTACCATCTGATTAGTAGAAACATGTGCATATGATAGTGTCCAATAGTGTTTTGTGTATATAATTGTTATAACGTTTAACTGTTACATATAGATATTCAAGATAATTATGTATGTCGAGGACCTGAGAGCAAAACTGATTTTAGATATGATGGTGGTGATAAGTGATGATGATGTGAGATGGTGTTTATGTAAATAATTATTAAGAAGACATACTGCTATTAGTTGAGTTTTTTTTTTTTCAATGTTAGCGTTAGTCCTATCTTCCTCTATCCCGTTCCCTACTGGAACAATCCTTATTGTCACCGTGAAGCCGTGAAGTTCCGAATGGTGGGCACAGTCTCTATTACAGTCCTTTCAACCCTGGAAGGTCTAGCAGCAAGCATCAACGGCCTTCTCATAGCTTTATAATTTTACGAAGAATTTTACGGCGCTTACAACACGATACGGTGATAAAAGTGCCAAACACCTTTTTAAAATGATGAAATGGTACAAGTCTATCAACACCATTATGTTATTTAAGAGGTGGGACCACCAAGTTTAACGTCCAGCTCCGAAAGGATTGAGCGAAATGTGACATTGGTGTGAGGTATCTTTTCCTAAGACACAGCGCCCCACCTAGCTGAAGCTCGAGCACCCGAACCTTCAATCTCCCGATTACGAGTCCGGAAAGACTATTACATTTTTTTTACGATAAAGGGCATCGGTATTTAAACCTTGTGTCGCTAGTAAGTGTTCTACGGTGCTCGCAACTGCTTAAGGTCATATGAGCGCCAAGGGGTGGATGTCAACAGAGAAGTCCAAACGGGGAATCAGACTTACTCTACTCACCTCCCTAGCCTCAACAGCACAAAGTCTGCTTCGACTATCAAGGCACCCCGGAAATAGCAGTTCATAAGAGAGTGACAAACATACAAAAGAAGTAGAGGAATATGACGATAGTAAGGATGAGTAAAGAAAAAGCAGCATTTCCCCCTATGTTGTTCCGGCACAGTATGAGCGTGGCATTGACAAATCAGCCCATTTACAATTCTGCTGCGCATAAAAATATGTTAACCC